GGAGGCATATGAGTGCCCAAAACCTGCTGTTAGTCTCACTAACCTCAACTATCCCTCAATCACTGTCCCTAAACTCAATGGATCCCTTGTGGTGACTAGAACAGTGAAAAATGTTGGCACTCCAGGAACTTACAAGGCTCGTATCCAGAACCCAGATGGCATATCGGTTTCAGTTGAGCCAAACAAGTTGGAGTTCAAGAAAATTGGTGAAGAGAAGAGCTTTAAACTACTCCTGCAGGTTATAGATGCCAAAGCAGCTAAGAACTATGTGTTTGGGAAGTTGATATGGTCAGATGGTAAGCACTATGTAAGGAGCCCCATTGTGGTAAAGGCTGCCTAGAAGTAGCCAAAAATAGTCCAAGTCATCATGTTGTGAGACAAAACCATTTAAATCATGTCAAAATAAGGAAAAAAAACCAGATGTATTTACAATTATAGTATGCTTAGTAATAATTAGTCCTACTATAATATCATCTTAGATTCGTATCGTATTATCGTGTTAGATCGAAAATTATGACAACTAAACTTATCATCATGGTATTATCATTTATGTGAAGAAACTTTGGAAGTAGGAATTCAAGTTTACAGCATTAGAACTTTTCAAAATATAAGACTTATGTAAAGTGGAATATTACCAAAAGCCTAGCTCCACTAAAGAAATAGTGAGATAAATGCCCATCTTCAAGCCACCCAAAAAAAAACAAATAAGGAAAAGGAGGGATAGGGTTGGAGAAGGAAAGAGGGGTTGGAAAAAGAGCACCCAAAAAAAACCCTACATCAATTGATAGGGCAATGCTCCAAGTGCAGTGGCAGGCCTCTTTGAAATTCTACGTATGGAAACGCTATGGGTTGGTCATCATCCTCAGTCCTCCACCTACACATAAAATTGGTTCTTGATCATCAACTTAATTCCACATTTATTTTGCCCTAATACTTAAAGTAGTACATAATATTTGTGAAATTGCAAAATAATTATAATCTAATTATATAATTACCTGAAATTCTGTACAAGGTGGTGGAGAAAAATTGCAGCTTCAAGCTTCCCAAGTTCAGATCCAGGACAGCATCTAGACCCTCCACCAAAGGGAGTAAATCTCTTGCACGTTTGGTCTTGGCTCTGAATTTTCTGTTCAAATTATTTTTCACAATATTGCATTTAGTTAATACACCAATAAAAAAATTAAAAATTCGATGTATCGTATTCAACACCACATTACTCTGTAATTTGTGCTTATCTATACAACCGGTTACACATAAGATTCTCTTTGGTGAGCCAAAAGTGTATCAGATTAAATCATGAGGTTTGATTTTATGTTTCATTACCTCCCATCTCCAAGGATGAAACTCAAGAGCACTTGCATGAAGGGAAGGGTCCAAATGAGCAGCACTAAAGACGGGTAGAACTTTCCAACCAGATGGAATTAAATAATCTGCAGAAAGTTGCATTAGAAAAAGGAAAGAAAAAAAGACCACTTATTTTTTCATTTAATTAAACAGATCGATCGTCACATACTGCAAAGTGCCAAAGTACAAAAAAGTTCTGCATGCTTTTGGTTGGGCTTCGGCATATTTTAATACTACTTTTACCTCTAAATTTCACATCTTTGAGAGCCTTTCGGTGCACGAATTTTACAACGTTTCCACATCTGAGAGCTTCGTTGATCACCTACCAATAAAAGAAAAACAATTTGTAAAAAATGTCTGACACAAAAATAAAACTAAACAACGCTAAATAAAACCAAGGCAATGGGTGTTTGTTGATTGCCGAGGCCTTTGGTTTGCTCTCAAATGGTGCTGGGTTCAAGTCGCCATGGTATCTGTGTGTGTGAGTTTTTGCCTTTCTTTTTTAATTTTGGCAAAACAATGCTAAATAAATGAGGATTTTCTTACATTTTGGGTAAATTCCATTTTCTTATAATCTTCCCAGTTCAAATACTCCTCTTTCTGCTTCCCTCTTCTAATGTTCTGATGCTCCACCTTTATATAATAATAATAATAAATAATAAAAAAGAGCAAAAATTAATTAAATGCCATTTATGTGTCTTGCCTTTAATTGTTGTAATGCAGAAGGTGATTGAGCCAGAAAATAAACTGCCATGCTGATTAAGAGAGAGGTAGTCTCATAGCCACCCAATAGAGAATCCAAGATGAAACTCACTTTTTCATCTTCAGATAAGGTATCAACATCCATAAGTATCTCAAGAAAATCACTTCTTTTACTCCTGCTGGAAGTAGTGCTTGTCTCAGCTGCTTGTCTTCTTCTTTCCTCTATAATTGCTTTCACAGTTGAAGATATCCTCCTTCTAGCCTGTAAAGAGACCATTAACATATCTCTAGCTACTTTTTTTCTTATTTTCTTTTTTGAAACAAAATAAAAACAAAGAAAAGAAGAAAAGGCTATAGATATATCTTGGACAAATTATTTAAATATATTAATTTAGTGACTTTATATTAAAAATGGAAATGTTATCTATCCGACTGTTTGGTAACACGAGATAACCATTAGTCAATCATGTTGATTTGTGTCCCAATGTGTGGTCCTAATTCACAGTCCCACAAACATAAACATGTGTCTTGTATATAAGCTTGACAACAATATATTGCTCATCTGAGGTACCTTAACAGCTCTAGCATATGGAGTTCCAGGAATGTAAAGCGGGAGAGAAATGAGCCCTCTCATGAAAGTCAAGAAATCTTCAAGAATTCTTGTGGTCTGTGGCTCATCTGGGGTCAAACCTAGCACTTGTTTTACTATTACATTGAATGTGAACTGCATGCATGTGGAACCAAAAAATAATTAATATGTAATTAAACCATACACAGAGAGACCCAAAAAAAAAAAAAAAAAAATTCCAAGATAAGGATAAAATACTTCCATATCCTCATTTCATTGCTCCTTCTCTCTATCCTCTTCTGATAGGTGACATGAATAGAGAGATAAGACAATGAAACGGGGATACAAAAATTTTACTCCGTGGGAATGTACCTTTCTGGCTTCCTCACAAAAGATGACTTGTGATTTATCTTTCCAAGAGTGAAGTATGCTAATGGTTGTGGCTTCAATGTCACTGAGAAACTCAGGCTTGGACTTGGTAATGGAGACCAAGGAGACAGCCACATTTCTGAGCCTTTTGTGAGTATCAGCCACAGCCACAAGCATGGAGCTCTTGCCAAGGATGCCATGGATAGGCTTTGGATAGCTGCATTCAAACAACTTGCCTTCATTCTGAAGTATGAAGTAGTTGAGCTCTTGATCACATGACACAATTGTGGGAGACAAGAACAAATGCGATTTAAACACTTTCCCATACCTGAAAAATCAAATTAACCATTTTTTTAAACTCTAATCCTTCAATTAGATGAGATACAACAAGAATTAAACATATAGAAGACAATATTAATTAGTGTTTGCTATTACCTAGAACAATGGTGTTGAAGGAAGGCACCAAGAGAATTAGAAGGATGAGGCTTCAAGAAGGCTAGTGTTTGTCCCAATATAGGCCACCCAAAAGACCCTTTGGGTGGAGGGCTACCATTAAGCCTTAGCAACAATAAGGGCAAGAAGTGGTTTAAAATGAGACCCAAAAGGGAGCCAAACATTCCAAATAGAACCACAAGCCAAAAAGTGCTTCCGGCCATGGACAAAGTTGTAAGCTCGAGCAATTGGAGCTTGAAGCTTCTGTGATGGTGTTATAAGTCTGCTATGCGAATAGGAAAGAGAGAGATGGTATTTATACTACTATATGTTACACACGTCTAATATTACCATAGATTTTTACTGTCGGTTAAATCAACTTTTTGTCAGAGAGGTCAGCTAGTCTAGGATCTAGACCCACAGCATAGGGATACAGAGGAGAGAGAGAGTAATTATTAACAATTGTAATCACATCAAACTTTAAACAATGACAATTAATTGATTATTGTATTAAGCTGCAAAGGGGAGATATATGATCAAATGAAAAGACTTTCATACAATAGGGATAGCATTTTTTTGTTAATTTAGCTAAATTTTTACGTATTATTATATTATTAGTCAAAAATAACAAAACAATATTATCTCATTATAAAAATATTTTTATAGATCAAATTGGTGTTTGAATACATTCACATAATCTCCTTGGTCTTATGTTTACATGGATTAATCAAGATTTTAACTAACAACAATTAAATATTTATTATTTAAGCAATCAAAACAACACTGGTGTGAATTCATGGAAGATGGCGAAAGTAGTGCTTGGAAGTTAAAATCTTGATAATACACGAGCATTGCTAACATCAGTTCCATTTTGTATCGCTGATGTATGAGTTATAATGCATCAACGACAAACAATTATCCATGTATAACGTTGACGATATATAATCATCCAAGCATTCACATATTGCTAATATTGACAAGATTCTTAATAATATATATACCCCACTCCCAAAAGCTTTGACTCTTTGTTTGCAACGTACTTACCCACCTGCAGAAGAGAGAGCTTATTAAAGTTATGGCCACCCTACCACAAAAGTTACAATATGTAACCTCAATCAAGCCACGTAACTTCCACTTTAAGTCATATTCTATCAAGGTTTACAAATCAAAAACTCCACAGACGTCTTATCTAAAACTTCTTAAGATAATTGTGGGTGTTTGTGGTTCTAAGTAATTTAAGAAAATGTAGCTTTAAAAAATCGCAAATGTGGATTTCTGTACTTAGATGTATTTTTTCATGAATAATACTTCCCTCATTACCTTCTATTGTGGCTCATCCACAAAGTGACATGTGTCTTCTTTTTTTTAATTGTCAAAACAATTTCTTCTTTTTTCATTTTTACTCAAACCCTAGCTTTTCACCAAAATAGAAAGAAAAAAACAATCCCATTGGTTTTTTTTTTTTCACTCTGTTTTTTGTCAACCATTTTTAGGTCTTCGTGGCCTTTCCAACTTTAACTTTAATAATCCCTTTACAACCAATGCATGTTGAACTTGATTCTTTATAGTGTTCACAACTTCAAATTTAGCATTCCAAACAAAAGCAATTGCTTGTGGAGAGATCGATGCCCTAGCCATGAGATTCTCTTTTGTTCTATCAAAAAACGAAGAATTAGATTGAAACTTGAAATCTGCTACCAATTTTTTTAGGGCAGTGCTATTCTCACTCCCAAAAAACATCTTGCAATTCACTAAATAATTGTAAAATCAATAATGTTATTTGTACCATATTTACTGATTACTTTGGTGATCATCTATCTAATAGAGGTGAATCCCGTCAATGTATGTGAGACCTATCTCTATTAGAGAGTGGTCAATAAATATGATACAAATAACAGTAGCATTCTTATAAAATATATAGAACAAATACTATTTAAATTCCTCCTTAAAAAGGCATGTAAACGCTCCCCGGCTTTAATCTAAGTTTTCTTTTCTTTTTTGACTCCTTTTGCGGCACACCCACCAGGGGACGGTGGAGCTTCACATAGTT